TTTTCTATCGCTTTCTGATAGCAATGGATCCATTCACAGGCGCCTCCTCTAACTCGTGAACCGTGGATCCGATAAGCCCAGGGGCTGGTCCAGCGCTGTAGCTACCTGCAGCTGGAACCGGCAACAGGTACAACCTACAGGCACGGCACGGGCACATGGATGGATGGAATCTTGTTGATGGGACGTAGACTGGGATGGAGGCCAACAAATGTCTTTAAATACCAGTCTATGCCCCTGTCACGGTCAAGTCCCAATTCGTGCTATAGCTTCCAATTGCCTTGATTCTACACTTGTTATTTGAACTTGATACTAATTGCTTAGTATTGACCATTCGTTGGTCGTTCCAGATCATCATCATCACACAGCCCGTCTTACACGAAACTGGACTTACTTCTCTTATTTTGTTTCGTCAACATCCTATAATCGCTCCTCTGAGCATCTGAATATCAACAATGACCGCTGCCGCCATGCAACAACCTCCCGTTATTCCTCCCCGTCCGGCTAAGGGCCAGGACAAGAACGATTCCCTGGGCAATGTTCCCAAGATTCCACCTCGTCCTTCATCGAAACGATTTGACCGCTCGATATCTCCCAATCCCGATCGATTCGCTCCTTCACCTTTCAATGAGGGCATTCCTCAAAAGAGTCCCATTTCTGCCCGATTCAACCCCAACGATGCTCAACAGGACCCAATCAACCGCCCAACCAGCGTCTCAATGCCTTCGATTGGCCAGGAGGGAGCTGAGTACAGTGCCGTGACCCACGAAGTCAAGCCCGAAGAGGTCCAGGCCGATGAGGACAACAGAGCTGCGTCACCCGAACAAACACGAACCATTGCCGAAGACCTCAAGCTTCATGCGCCCAAGCCTTCCCTGCCAGCTCAAAGCGCCAAGCAGCGTGTTCAGGCTGTTACCCGCACCGACTCCGACAAGGCAGCACAATTTGGCATTGGCCGCCCTGGATCTACACAGGGCAACAAGAAGCAGTCTAGCAGCAATGTGTCGGTCAGTGACGGCCGCCCTGAGGTAGAGGATGAGCATGGTATCCCCGAAATCGGCCAGCGCGTGCCCATGAACCCTCATCTTGGTGATGTTCAGGCCCCTTCGCCTGGACCTGGGTCCGAGGAATTCAAGAAGCACCACCACCGCAAGCACAGCTCTCGTGGTGGACCTCCGGGCAGCTATGGCCTCCACGGCCATGGTGTTGCACCCTTGGACAAACTCGAGAAGGAATACTACGAGAAGCACCCTGAAGCCCTTAAGAGGGAACATCAGACTCCTCTGCATGACCGTCAAAATGACTTTGCCATGAGCAAGGATGACCTGAACAAGCTGGTCAGAGACACGCGATCTCGTGGTGCCGGCCTGGGTAAGTTGCACGTCTACTTGCGCTAGCACTAGCTAACGAAATACAGGCACATCTGGTTATCAGGCTACGCCTACTGATGAAGTTGGCTTCCAGGCCAGTGAAGAATATACTTCCCGCCTCTCTCCCCGACCCGCTTCCACCAATGAAGGCAAGGTTCAGCCTCTGTCATTTAAGTCGGAGATCATTGGTCCCGATGGTGAACATACTGTGCACGTTGACGATCCTAAGCACCCAGAGTACCGCTCGTATGGTAACGAAGATCCTGCTGTAGACGAGGAGGACCATGAATACACCGCACCCATTTTGGCTGCCGACGAAGTCAAGAATGATGATTCTTCTTACAGCCAGCGTCCTGCTGTTCACCCTCCCGCTGACCGTCGAGGTAGCGGTGACTTGGAGGAACCGACAAGTCGACCTCTGAGCAGGTCTAGCAGACCCAAGAGCAGACCCACTAGCATCTATAAGAACAATGACTCTCAAGAATTTGCTCCCACTTCTCTGGACGACGTCGAAGAATATGAGCCTCTGTTCCCTGAAGAGGGCAAGAAGGAAGCTCAGAAGCCAGCACCTGGTAACAAGGCACGACACCATTTCCCTAGCAAGGACATTTGGGAGGATGCCCCAGACAGCGTACACTTCACTGTTGAGGTTTCGACACCTGATCAGGCGGACCAGGCAGAGCAGGCAGAGGAACCGCGACGACGATCATCTGCTATGGATCGTCCTAAAACCCCAGCTCATATCTTTGCTCAGAGACAAGAGGAACTTGCTGAGCAAGAGGCCAGTGGTCCTGTGGATATTCAACCCCCGAAGAACCATGATAAGCCAATCTGGTACGAATCAAAGGAATCCGATTCTTTCCTTAACAACAACAAGAGACCTTCCGCTAGTCAACGATTCCCCAGCAAAGATATTTGGGAAGATGCCCCTGAGAGTCAGCTCTACGAGACTACCATCTCTGATTCCCCAGAATCCGAGGTTAAGGAGGAACCTAAAGAGGAACTTGTGGAGCAGAACAAGCCTTCAATTCCGGAGCGACCGGCTAGAAAAGCATCTGAGGATCGCCCTGCAATTCCAGAGCGACCCAAGCCCAAGCACACAACAAGCGATGAGGGCAAATCAAGACCTCCCGTGTCAGACAAGCCAAAACCTCAGATCCCTCCTCGACCTACAAAAGCGTCATCAGGGGACTCGGCAGAGCCCAAACAGAAGCCTCCAGTGCCAAGTCGACCGGCCGGTAGCAAGATTGCCGCCCTTCAAGCAGGCTTTATGAGTGACCTGAATAAGCGTCTCAAGTTAGGACCTCAGGCCCCTAAGAAGGAGGATCCCAAGCCGCAAGAAGATCTGACGGAAGAGAAGGAGAAGGCCCCGCTTTCGGATGCTCGCAAAGGTCGAGCCCGGGGCCCACAGCGCCGAGCTCCGGCGAAGAGCCCCGCTGCGGCACCGTCGCCCGCCGTGCAATCTTCAGGCCCTTCTTTGTCATTCTCAACCCCCCAGACTCTCTGGTCTATTGATCCTGAGGGCTCTCTGTCAGTATCCGGCGAGCAAACTCCCGTTTCTGAATCAGAGCCAGCGGTGGAAAAGACTGAGGAGCCGGTCGCTGAGCCCGTGACATCCCAAGAACCGCTACCCAAGTCTGAGCCTAATCTTGAGCCCAAGCCGGAACTTCGATCAGAGCCTGAATCCGAATCAGTTCCAGTGCATAGGAATCCGGAACCCGCAGCAGGAAAGCTACCTCAAGAAGCTGAGCCTGAGCTTCCGGCACAGCAACCTGCCGTGGAGCCCTCCCCAGAGCCTGCTCCAGAGGCGTCTCTCCAAGAACCTGAGCGTGAACAAGAGCCAATTCAAGTTGAAAAGACTCTCGTTACGAACACAGCCGGTGAGAGTATCTTGGAGACTACCGTGGACAAGACGGAGGGAGGTGATGCAGTTGAGCCTGTTGCAGTGTCTGATGAAGTTAAGCAGTAAATAAAAGAATGATAGCAGGTGGGTTGAGGGGGGCATAGGTATATTGTAGATGGCCGGGCTGGCAACGTAATCGGAATTGAGTTTGCTTTGAGCGCCTTGAAACAAAATGAGATTACAGCTGCACCACATATCGAATTATGCTTTCTTTATTTGTGCTACATGAGAAATACATGGTCATATACAGTCTTTTTGTACAATGCTTACTCTACTTGCGCCCCCAGGCTTTCTCTTGATCCACGCCCTTCCTTTCTCTTTCAACAAGTCGGTCGAATTCGTCTTGCGCCTGCTCTTTTGCGACTGCCCTTTCCTCATCCGATTTGCTGAATGAAAAACTGTCACTGGAGCTACCGGCAGACCTGCTGCCCCAACCAGATTGTGATTCTGGCTGAGATCCGGTCTGAGAACGGGCAGCCCAGGCACGGGACTGGTAATCAGATTGCTGCTGGGGCGAACCTTGTGATTGTTGTCGAATGCGCTCCCACGCAGAGCCAGCAGGAGGAGATGTTGTTTTACTGCGGGAAGAGGCAGCGATTGGTGAAGCATCATCCTCATCATCGAGAACGCTCCAGTCGTCATTGGGTTGTTGACTTTGTTGTGTTGTGGTCGAGGATTGGGTCTTGCCCCAGTACTGGGTGGGGGTGGGCTGATATCTACTCTCAGAGCTGGTGTTGCTTTGATCATTGCTGGCCCAAGGGTCGTTCTCATCACTTTTATGCGCATCTCTACCTGTAAAAGGTGCTCTTGAGATGGTAGGGTTACTCATAACATCTTTGACACGCTCGGCAGCATCCTTGGTGAATTGTTTCAAGCGGGGATCATTTGTCATGGCAGCTTCGGTTCGAATGAAACTGACAGCCCGGAATGCAGGCTCAATCATGAGCATTATGACAGCGGCGTAGGCGGTAAATCGAAGTGTATGCCATGTTGCGCGAGGGTAAGCTCCACGGATCTTCTTGTTGGTGAAAATACTGGTAGCCTCATTTGGGTTGAATCGGCCACCAAGCTTGGGTTTGTAGAAAGGGAATTGCCATGTACGACGACCACGATAGGTCATGTATCCAGCGAGTGCGACGCTCAGCCACTTTAAACCGGCGTTGGTGTGGATGTTATCGAGGGTATATTCGGCAATGGCCTTTGCTTCCACATCCTCCAGATCCCGGCCCAGAGTGGCAGCAAAGCCAGAGACCCGGGACGTCGCAACAAGAAGATTCCAATCACGACGGTAGCCAATTACGGAGGCGTAAAACGGGGGAGAGTATTCTTGAAAGTATCGAGTGACTTGTTCTTTGACGCGGGGTTCATATTGGTTGCGCTGGGCGAGTGCCGACTGGCGCCATTCTTCCATAGAGTGCTTGTAATTTTCGCGGGACTGGGCAGGGCCAGCGCCATTGGACTGGGAATTCATCGCAATTAGGACTTAGGTCGGAAGCACAGTGAATCAGAGTCTGAGTGGGCGTTATGAGGTGGTGTTTTACTGACTGATCGGCTCGAGATCATCAAATGACGGACTTGGCGGGACCGAAAATGGTGACGCTGTGAAGCCTGGTCCACTGACGCACATGCCCGTTGATGGTGGAGTCGGGTAGTTTCGATAGAGCTTCGGGGATGACATGGATGAGCTGCAGCTCCAACCACGCTAAGAGCTTCTCCACGTGACCTGGCAACAACAACTGCAAGGGGTCGCGAACATCGCGACACGTTTGCCCATTAAACGCGTCTAACCACTTCCTCCACTTCAATTCAAATGTCCCACTATCACCATACTTCACGGGTTTGGAATTCGGAATGTTCAAGCCCCGGTAGGTATAATGCCTCTACAAAAATCCTACTCGGATCAAGTTGGTCGAACTAAGGTAATGAATATATGTATAAGACAAAAAGTTAGTTGAGCATCACTAACGATTACAGCGCTCGCCATGGCAGCGATCAAGGAGCAACCCGGTTCAGCAAACACCGAGGCCTCGAGCACTCCAGCCTGTGTCCGAGGTGACCAAGAACAAGCTCAATAAGTTTCAGTATCACCCCGCGAATGGCGAATCAGCTACGGAGAGCACAGAAAACGAACAAAATATATCAAACAACCGAACCAAGGACGATACAACGACTACCCCCGCTACTCGATTGACCTGGCAAGAGCTACTCGAACCTGCAGGTGGTGCCGAAGATGATACAACTACATCACCAAATGATCGGCTCCTCTGGGACAACAGGCAGGATACGCTGTACATGCCAGCATTGTCCCCCATGTTGAATCGCAAAGGAAGGAAGCGTGCTAGGAGCTCATCACCCGTCTCATCTCCGGTCGCGGAAAAGCCTAATACACCCTCGGTAAACGTCAAGAAGCTGGCGCAAGCCCTCAAGTCACCGCACGCGGATCCAACACTGGAATTATGGGACCGATACTCTCTAAATGCAACCGATAACGCGGGTAGCCCTCTAGGACTTGCAAACCCTGCACTTGCACAGTTGATGGTATCATCTTCGCCACGACCATCGAAACCAACGGTTGGCGAGTCCAATCTCAGACGAGCAATAAGTTGCGGCTTGAATTGGCCCAAAAGGAGAAGGGTCGAAAGATCAACGTCAGGGAGTCGCCTGAGTATCGAGATGGAAGAGATGGAGGCGTCCAAGTCTTCAATGGTAACTGCACTGCTCGACACGGTGACTAGTAGCATCAACGGGCCGAGTGAGGAGCCCCGCGAGGAGCCTCAAGATGCTCCGGAATCTCCTTCTCCTAAGAAGAGGCGGACATATACCACTAGCAGTGGCTCTCCGCGCCTGTTGAAATCCCAAGCTAGGTCTCAAACGCCAGGACAGCACCCTGCGCAACCGCATATTCAACTTTCAGCTCGACCTTCAGTTCAATTGCAGCCTCCAGAGCCTGCTTCCTCGGACTACGGTGATGATGACTTTGACGAATTTGACGACGACACAATAATGCAACTTGAAGCCAGCATCAATGCCACCCAATTGGAAACGAATCCGCAACAAGAGGTAGCAGTAGCCGAAAACCACCCACTGTGCGAGATCGATGAAAAGGCACCGGAGAAGTTTGACGGCAAGCTGGATGAATTTGACGACTTGGACGATGACTTCTTCGATGAGGCAGAAGATCTCATTACCGCGGACTCTCAACAGGTATCACAGGCTCCACCAACAACAGAAGTCGACGACTTGGACGATGAATTTGGAGACGCATTTGGCGGAGACTTTGATTTTGAAGCCGTGGAATTGGCAGCAACACAAGCAGCCCAGAACTGCTCCGGAGACGTACGTCGAACAACCTAGGAGGATCCGCCATATGCTAAGTAACAGGTAGAGCCGGAAACCAAGAACAATACAACGATACCTGGTGACGAATGTCTTGGAGGGCGAGTATACGGACCAGTATGGACATACACGACCAGAAAAGGTAAATCAGTCGACAATCATGCTCGAATAATACTGATTTTGGCTTCAGATTCTTCTCATTCAGGCCGACAACTCGAAAGATATCAAGACGGTTCACCTAAGGGCCTCATGGTTTGACACACCAGCCCATGCAGAATCCTACGTTCACATTATAGGTGACTTCTCTTCAAGAGGTCAATGTATCATTGACGATGCTCAAAATCTTCTTATTCTACACCCTGATCAACTCATATCTGCAACTGTAGTGGCTGATTCGTTCGGTTGCATGCGCCGTGCTGTGCTGCAAGATCGAGTTAAGGCCACCAGTCCACCAACACCACCCCTTATCTATGGGACAATGCTACACGAAATTTTCCAAGAGGCTCTTCTTGCCAACAAGTGGGATCTCCCTTTTTTATGCGCCGTCATCGACCGAATAACAGAAAAGCATGTAGAGGATCTTAATACTATCAAAGTTGGTATACCTTCAGCTCGAGAGCATCTACAATCGAAAATGACCGAATTGAGTTACTGGGCTGGCGCTTTCGTATCTTCCCGCCCGAAGGAGGATGCTGTAGTTGAAGACCGGAACGGGAAGAAGGCCAACATGGCAGTCACCAAGCTCTTGGATGTTGAGGAACACGTGTGGTCCCCGATGTACGGACTCAAAGGCAACATCGACGCGACCGTCGAAGTTGCGATGCAAGATGGAAATGATATTCGGACTTTGACTGTGCCGTTTGAGGTCAAGACAGGTAAACATGCAAACAGTAACCATATGGCTCAAACAGCGCTTTACACACTGCTCTTATCGGACCGCTACGATATTGAGATTGCGTATGGAATGCTCTATTACATGGAAACATCCAAGACGATGCGTATTCCCGCAATCCGACACGAGCTTCGACACATGATCATGCAAAGAAACCAACTGGCATGCTATGTTCGAGAGAGAAGCGTCCAGTTGCCACCAATGCTCAAGAGCAAGCACATGTGTGGAAAATGCTACGCCAAGACATCATGTTTCATTTATCATCGACTCGCAGACGACGGAGATGGAGACTCGAGTGGTATGGACGAGAAATTTGATGAGCTCGTCAAGCATTTAACTCCTCAACACCAACAATTCTTCATCAAATGGGAGAATTTACTGACCAAAGAAGAGAAGGAGGGCCAAAAGACCAAAAGAGAGTTATGGACAATGACTAGTGCTGAACGAGAAAAGAAATCGCGATGCTTTGCAGATGTCATCATCGAAGAGGGTTCAGCTTCAGTCGACACGGATAACCCTAGGATCAATCGATACCACTACACCTTTGTCAAGCGACTTCAAGTTTCAGGATTCTCATTCCTGGAGTCTGAGTTGTCAGTCGGAGAGCCAATTGTGGTCTCTGACGAGGAGGGCCATTTCGCCTTGGCCATAGGCTACGTTACAGCAGTCAAGAGGCAACGAATCAGTGTCGCAGTTGACAGGCGACTCCATAATGCCCGCATTCGACAACCTGGCTTTGATGAGAGGGATAACCAGATTTTCGCCAGCATTATGGACGTTGCCCATGAAGGCGCGACCCAGGATGAGGCAACGGGCAAAATTAAAGAGGCCCCTATTCGTTATCGACTCGACCAGGATGAGTTCAGCAACGGAATGGCGACTGTTCGCAACAACCTAGTGCAGATGATGGCAGACGATATCGTGGGAGCGCGGCAAATTCGACGACTGATTGTCGATTTAGAAGCACCTAGATTCAAGGCTGCGCCAACTCAGTACATCGTGTCGGATCGGGATAGCCTCAATATTGATCAACATCGAGCCATCGAAAAAGTCATGAGTGCTCAAGACTACGCACTTGTTCTCGGAATGCCCGGTACTGGGAAAACCACAACCATTGCTCATATTATCCGCGCTTTGACATCTCAGGGGAAGAGTGTGCTCCTAACCTCGCATACACATACTGCTGTGGACAACATTCTACTAAAACTTAAGGCTGACAAGATACCTATCCTTCGTCTTGGTGCTCCGGCTAAAGTGCACCCCGATGTCCAGGACTTCGCTATTCTTGCAGGCCATCCAATGAAGTCGTTCGATGAAATCAAAAATGCATGGCACGGGACACCAATTGTCGCAACGACATGTCTTGGTATCAACCATCCCGTCTTTCACGAACGTTCCTTTGATTACTGTATCGTGGACGAGGCATCACAAATTACCCTGCCCATCTGCGCTGGCCCTATCAGAATGGCTCGCACTTTTGTACTTGTTGGCGACCACAACCAGCTTCCTCCCGTGGTAAAAAATGAAGAAGCACGCGAAGGCGGTCTCGATGTCAGTCTGTTCAAACTCTTGTCCGACACGCACCCCGAATCGGTCGTCAACCTCGAGCATCAGTACCGCATGTGTGAGGATATCATGACTCTGAGCAACACTCTCATCTATGATGGAAGACTTCGGTGCGGTACAGAGCAGCTTCGAAGGCGGAAACTTGAAGTTCCACGAATGGAGGCTCTCATGCAGCGACACTACGACGCATCAACCATCAATGCAGCAACTGCCCGGTCGTTCTGCTCTGCCCCCGGTCCGAATCGATGCTGGCTATATGACCTTCTCGATAGCGAGACACGCGTGCGTTTCATTAACACTGACACAATCCAACCTCCCGTTCGTGAAGAAGCCCAGGGCAAACGAATCGTCAACTCAGCTGAAGTCCGTATCGTTTCTCAGCTCGTTGATAGCCTTTTGACAGTTGGAGTTCCAGACTCTGAAATTGGTGTGATGACACACTACCGAGCACAGCTGTTTATGCTCAAAGACAAGCTTAAGATGTTCTCTGGAGTAGAGATGCACACAACCGATCGTTTCCAGGGACGAGATAAGGAGGTGATTGTTCTCAGTCTTGTGCGAAGCAATGAAGCATGCAACATTGGAGACCTTTTGAAGGATTGGAGACGAATCAATGTTGCTTTCACGCGAGCCAAAACGAAGCTCCTCGTTGTTGGAAGCAAATCGACACTCAAGGGCAGCGGTAGCGACAGTATGCTAAGCCGATTCATATCTCTCATGGAGGACCGGAATTGGATCTACGAAATGCCCGCCAACGCGCTTGAAAACCATTATTTTGAGGACTTTGGTACACAGATCACAGCCACAGGCCCTACACAAAGGATTAAATCACCACGAAAGAAAGCTTCTGGAAAAGAGAACCGCAGGCATTCACCGAAAACAGCTAGGATTAGTGACAAGGCGTTATTAAAAGGGAAACTTATCACGAGGGACATCTTGAACGAAATGACCAACGGCGCATATGTTTGATTAGCGGAACTGGTTTAGCATTGCATTGCATGGATAGGATAAGATCAATATAGGATCAATCAAAGCCGCTCAGGCGATACATCGGTATCTTCATCATCGTCTTCCATGTGCTTTGAGGGGCGTTCGAACCTGCTCTCGTTAATAGTGACCCTGTGATTGTGGATAATGACTCACTTCTTCTCTCCTACTATGAGCTTCGTGAACTGCTCCAACTCTTCCAACTGGGCCACACAGCCAGTAAGACTTGTATTGTATGAGTAGCTATATATATCACTCCATGTCTTCTGTCGCTCAAGCTCATAGCCCTCAGTGTCTTCTTCCATTTCTCTGGCCACTTCGGCGGTTCTATGAAGGAGCTTCTTTCGTGCTGCAGCAGCACTCGGTAGATAACGCTTCGCGGTTTGTTAGCCCGGGTTATCATATTTGAGCTTAATACTTGCAGGAACTTTGCGCTCAGATCGCAATGCTACGGCGAGGATGTACAAGTTCCCGAGGATAGCGGCCACTGCATCACGCCGGTAGCTGTGCAGCTTCTCAGCAGCAACGGGATTGTCGCGGATGTAATTTGGGTTGTAAAAGAGAGCGGACTGTCGAACAGCAATGAGATACTCGAAGAATCGCTCACATGAGGCAGCAAGACACGAGTAGGGGATTGGATCAAAAGGGCCTCGAAGGCGAAGTTCGTGACGTGACATGACAAGGAGTTGTCGGATTCTGACAAAACCTTCACGCATCCGACTTTCGAGCATCTCAGAACGTCTGATAGTCTCGGGGGTCGGATTTTTACCCTCGTCGAAGTAAACATAGTTTGCAACAACATCTGACGGTCAGCAGAGTTTCAGAAAAGAGATGCACAGACTTACTTCTGTACATTATACTCATGTATAAAATCATTGAGGATAGCGCGATCCGTAGTTCGTGTCGAGCGATGAAGGGCCAAAGTATCCAATTCACAATGATGGGTGCTATAGTACCGATAAGAAACACCAAGCCCTTGTAAACTCCCAGTAATGCAACGGAAGTTCCAGAACCGTGGTCGCGCAATGTGAGAGATATGACGGCGAAAGACAGACAGCCAACAAGACCAGATCGCTTATCAAAGTTAGCAATGCCCTGGAGTTCGAGATTAAACGTACCGGATGAGTGCTCTGAGTAAAGCGGTATATCATGGGAATCATGTATATAGCAGCAAAGACTGCCAGGACATATGGATTCCCACCACCCGTTGCATGTGCTGCACCACCCCACGCAGCACCAAGAATGGCCGCAGAGGCACGAGTGAAAAAGTCCTGAATGTTGCCCCCTATTCGAGGATGGATCATGATCCATCCCATACAGACAGCCCACCATGCATCGTAAACCATCCACCAGTTGTACGTGCTTTCGAAACAACAAGGAAGAGCTAGAGCAGAAAGGAGAATGACAACTTTCAGTGCATACTTGGTTTCAAACCCCTGGCAACGGCGCATGAGTTTCCACACCCTATAACCCAGCCTATCTTTATGCGACGCAGGTCCGCCATGAATAATCGACTCGACCACCGTACAGTCTTCTGGTTCAGTGACCGCCTCGTAGTTCTCACGAGGGTGATGCTTCTCAGTTGATCTCGTCATTTCTATGAGTTTTGCGATCTCCGCAAATGTCGCTCGATACATGCCAGCCGTGACGCCCCCACGATCGTGTCTAACCTGTGCGTTCGTTCTGTATAGGGCTTTACCAAAAGGGTATACTGGAAGGTTGACGCGTATCCTGTTAGAGTTGGTATGCATATCCTGAACTATGGTCATGAGGTTGACAATAGTCCCGGCTGTTTCGCGGACATGTCTGGCGAATACGAGGAATTCAACAGCCTGTCCATGATCGGCGTACGTCTCGGGCCTGTCGTTCGATCTCAGGAGATGATCTTCTGCAGTATCGAAGACTTCAAGGCTGTTTCGCATGCGCAATTGAACAGGAACGATGTCAGACGAAACATCAGCTGAGGGGCCAAAGTGCTTTCGCCAGCCTGTCAGGTCCATGAGTGCAGCATGACATGTCTTCACACCCTCTGACATACAATCGATGACTTCCCTAGTAGGACCCGACAGAGACCGAGCCACCTTACGGCCAGAATCTTCGACCTCGGATTCACTCCCCGCGTCGTCTGCAACAGTAATCTCAAGAGTGTTGGACCAGTCCTCAAAAAGTTCTGTGTCCGTGTTCATGGAGAGAAGGGCTCTAACCACACCTTGTACTGAATTACGAAGCTCTCGCACGTCATTTGGACGGAAGCGAGTGATAGTAATATCGATTCTCATATCTCGATAGGCAAGTGACATGTCCATGAATGTTTTGGCAAGACGCCTCCTGAGTCCCGTATCTCTAGGTCGAGGGATAACAAGAGATTCCTGGACAGTTAGTATAAACGATAAAAAGAAACATGTGAACATTGCTCACCTGCATAGTATTGAATGATTTATGAAAGGCGACTGCCAGCAGGCGGTTGCCGGCATCAGGGAAGACGAGACAGTTTACCACCAGTGCAATTGCTTGACCTAGTAGCCAAGGAATCGCGTATTGCAGTGACTTGTGCCAGGTGAAAGCATTACCATTAGTCTGCGCCAGTGTTGCGAAGGCGAGGGCTATGCCTGCACATAGAACAGTCTGGTATAGGCGGATAAAGAATGAACGTATGAATGCAATGCTCGCAAAGAACAGAGCGGAAAAGAGAACAAAGATCCAACCAGACGCTTTTCTAGCGTCAATCGTCGATGTTGAAAGCAAAAGGCCAACCATACCCCAGGCCAGGCCGGCAGCAGTACCAATGATAGTACCTACTGTACCATCAACTTGAGAACCAAAATTGCGACCTGGATGATTTATTATGGTAGACACCACCATGATGTAGTCATAGTAACCTAGCCAGTCGTGGACCCGTGGTATCAGACATAAGATGTAAGCGATAAAAAAGGCAAGAAACGACTTGAGAAGCTTGATGCCAGCTCTAGTGGTAGCAACTTTGTGCGTCACTGATTTGAGCTCATGGAGTTGCCTTGGAAGAAAGTGTTTTGCTGATAACGGATGACTCTTTTCGAATTCCTTGGGCAGAGCAGCTTTGGACCGCTCAGCAACCGCATCTGGATCTACTGGGTCCGGCTTTAAGAAGAGAGCGTCGAAGAAGCCATCACGTATCTCAGAGACCCCATACGTTTCCATGTTCATGCGGTCATCGGAGATAATCTGATCAATCTGCATTATGCTCATGACCGATGAGCTCCTTCTGGAGTCCACGCTTGGCCTCGCGAGATATGCTGGAGCAGGCGAAGTAGAGCGCCCTCTAGGTTGATGGTCTAAGGTGAATCTCACGTCTAACCCGGTAGGGCTTAGACTTGGACTATCATCCGCAGATGACTCGGCAGCTGTTTGAGTTTCATTTTGAGGAGGTCCCGTGATTCGAATGCGTTGGCGGCCACGCTTCATGTTGGGGATTTGTGGATTGATACAGTTATGATGGTATATAAGAGAACCGGACTATGTTGACGATACCACCTATTGTGTCGCCCTCGAACATACGAGACTCGAATTGAATTATACACTGGAGTATTGAAGGTAATGGAAGTTAATGAGATGAGACCATAAGCAAATGTTGTGGTTGTATGTTCATTGCCGTATTCCTTAAAGGACTGATTTCGTCATCAGTTACTGCTCTTGGTGTAAAATGCGATGCTTTAGAATGGATACGCTTGCAAGAGAAATGCAAAAAAAGAAAAAGACCGACTCCAGATGAAATGAGTCCAAAAGGGGAACCGCAGAATCCCAAAGAATGATGCAGGATGCAATTATTGGGTCCCGAATAGATCATGTTTTTTGGGCATCGACAAGGCCGTGCATCACTGTTGCCAAGGCTGGGGTCAACTTCAGAAGCAGGGATTTCAATGAAGGGAGTGTTTTTGAAGTATAAGTAGAACTTGTGAGCGATATACATGAGCCACTGCGTTCATCGAGTTGAAATTGCCATGAATGACTCCATCATGTCGTCCAATTGAGTTGAGGTTTAGGTTGGGCATATGTTCTGGTATGGCAGCACCTGCGGAACTCAAACACTCAGACAAAGATAACCTCAAACCAACTGTGCACTAGTGATGCAGCCAAACTCGACTTATAAACAATAATAATTGATTATGCTCAATATCTCATCCCTCCTTCTATCCGCTTGCATTGGATTGGATAAGGACATGCAAGTGACTAGCCCAACAGGGGTGCTGTGACTACCGGGTCACGTGAACCTATCAAATCGAAGTTCAGCAATTACCTACCTAGGTACGCATTCGTTCAGATCAAACAAGCAGCATCACGCCCAACAACGTCACTCAGCCATTGACCTTCCCCGCGCCATCTCATCGCCGAGTCGAATCCCCCTCGAGATCTCGACGATACGGTAAAACATGACCTTTATCCGCGCTGCTGTCGCGCCCCTGCGCGCCGCACGCTGCATTCGACAACCCCTCTCCTCCAGAGGTTTCTCCGTGTCCGCCCGACGACAAGGAGGCGGCGGCGAGCATCAATTCGATCCTCCTACCGGCTGGCTCTGGGGTGTCAAGCCTGGTGAGAAGCCTGAGCCCGAGGGCTGGGAGTGGCCTACCTACATTCTTCTCGGCAGCCTTGCCGCCACCGCCGTTGCGCTCGCCTTCAAGCCCGATACTACGTGAGTGATTTGCACTCGGAGGATACATATCGTATTGGACGGATTCAGTCTTGCCAATAGCGGAATTATGGCCGAGAACTGATACGGGACGTCTACTAACGGTTATACAGTGTCTCTACCTGGGCCCTTGAGGAAGCACGAAGGAGGTTAGAGGAGGAGGGAATCCTGCCCGACCCATCCAAGCAGGACAAGAAGAACTAAGCGGAGGTTACGACATACTGACAGAGGGAAATCCGGTCAATTGTACATGTTATTTTGCATTTGAAGAATGGTATTGCTAGAGGTTTTGGTCTTGAGGTATTACTGTCTGTCTAATTGGGACTGTGACATAACCTCTGACCTTTGCTAGTATCGCTGATTGTGAGCCTTAACAAGCAATTGTGGCAAAGCAGATGATGTTCTCGTAAACCTGAGCGTGAGCGTAATTATTTTGATTCCGATCTATCTATTCCCAGCCGCTATATAACGCCATATACACAACCACTCTAAATAGTGTAGCTCCATTCATGCTCCTCATCACCATACTGAATGGCCTCGATCCATTCCTTCATCTTCAGAGCAATCTCACCAGACTCTTCGAGTTCAGAAAGACCGCAGTCAACGAGCTTACCCTTCCATGAGATGGATCGGACAGGGCTGACAATAGCTGCAGTTCCAGCACCAAAGGCCTCGAGAAGACGACCCTCATCAGCGGCCTCAGCAAGCTCCTTCATCGTGTACTTGCGCTCGCTGATCTTCCAGCCCTCAGGTTCAAGACGCTCCCGAGCGAGAGCGAGCACAGAGTCACGAGTAACACCCTCGAGGATAGTTCCGTCAAGGGGAGCCGTCACAAGCTCCTTTTGGCCAGTCTCCTTGTTCTTGAGAGCAACAAACATGTTCATAGTGCCGACCTCAGTAACGTACTCCTCCTCACCAAACAGCCAGAGGTTCTGCTGGAAGCCACGGCTGGCGGCCTGGAGCTGGGGAACGATACAGGGTGCATAGTTGGCGCCCAGCTTCTTGTCACCAACACCACCGGGCCAAGCACGAACAGCGTAGTCAGTGGCCTCGAGCGAGACAGCCTTGAAACCAGTAGGATAGTAAGGGCCAACGGGCGAGGCAATGACGTAGAGAAGAGCAGATCCGGGAGGTCCGACACCGAGTGTCTTTTGGGTTCCGATCATGGTGGGACGGAGGTAGAGGGAGTATCCCCGCTTGTCAGGGATGAAGCGGGAGTCAAGCTGAGCGAGCTTGGAGATGAGCTCGGTGAGGGCTTGTGGCTCAAAGGTAGGGAGCGCAATACGGGCGGCAGACTTGTTGAGTCGCGCCATGTTCTTGTCGGGTCGGAAGAGTCGCACTTTGCCATCCTTGTCCTTGTACGCCTTCATACCCTCAAAACACTCGAAGGCATAGTGGAAGACACACGTCGCAGGGTCGAGTGAGAGGTTCTGGTAGGGTGTGATCTTGGGTTCCAACCATCCTTCGTCTTGATTCCATTCGATCGCAAGCATGTGGTCTGGCAAAGTTTTAGCTTCCGTCCAGGGCGCATTTGGTGGGGGTTCGTTTACCTGTGAATTCCCTTCCAAAGACGAGATCCTCAGGCTTGCTGAGGCCCTTGGGCTTCGCCGTCTTCTCAATGCTGAGTTTTGAAGCATCCAAGCCCAGAGGCTTAATGGTAGAGGCAGCCTCAGCCTTGATGCTGAACCGTTGCGCATGGCATAGCGGTCTCAAGCTCGACATGCGAGCGCTCCGTAAAGCGGAGCGGACAAGCAACGGTCTCATCATTGATGCGCTTTCTGAAGTCAATTGACAATAAAGAGTTGAATTGGCGGAATTATGTATTCAACACACACTGAAAAACAGAAAGGTAAAGTTTTAAAGATGGAGAGCAATAACCTTCGGTGTCGAGACTAGGTGGGATATTAACTTAAGTACTAGGGGCAATTGTCTATGGTCGGAGCTGTATCGGAGGTTGATGATAGAAATCGATTGCAAATTGACCGACTCAATAGGCTCGCTGCAAAGCGAGCCCGAGGTACTTTACAGGGACAGCCGCCTCCAGGCGTTCACAACCGTCTTGGGCCGTAGATGAGTCGCCTGGCAAAGTCACTTAAAGTTCCGTGAACGCAGCTGTCGACGCCCTATTAGGTTAGTGATAACAGGGGTTTAATGGGGCGCTGATCTGACATTCAGCAGCTGCCCAGGCGTTATCAGCTTATCGTGGGGAAGCTAGGCTTGGCTCCCTGATGGTAAGGATACGTAGGTTATTTGTGAACGCGAGGCTACCCCTACACATGGAGAGTGCGCATCGCGACCAACGTCATTTCCATTCCCAATCCTATTGCGGCCTAAGCGAAGCGATCGTCGACCCTTGTCTTATTTATCGTCATCAACGAATCTCGCATTGTGAGCCTCCAACAACAGCGGCGGCTACGCGCAGCATCTGCGACCCCTTAAGTTCGACCTAACATTTGCGATCCATGGAGAGCTGTCACCATGTTCTCCTCGGCCTTTAAGTCCATCTCTGCCACCAACATCACCGGCAACTACTCCATCTCTTCAGCACCGACTTCGACGGCTGGCCCCTGGAAGATATACGATGCGAAGAAGAAGTCTACCGGCAAGCCATACAGTGTCTTTGTATTTGACCGGAAATCATTAGACAGCCATGGCAGCTCGTTGGGCCGCTCTGGTGCGGCCTCTTTCAAGAAGACGGTCGAGGAAGTTGTCGAGCGATTAAAGAAGGAAGGGTCGAGTCTTGCGAAGCTCAGGCATCCCAACATTCTCGAGTTAGTGGAACCGGTGGAGGAGACAAGAGGTGGAGGTTTGCAGTTCGTGACAGAGTCTGTCACAGCTTCATTGTCCAGTTTACTGCAGGAGAAAGACGAACAGGAACGAGCTGGAGGTCCCGGTGGAAGATCGAGTCGATATGTGACAGAAGACGCAGATGGGACTAAGAGACGAAGAGAGCTTGAGATTGATGAGTTGGAGATCCAAAAGGGATTGCTTCAAGTCAGCAAAGCTCTCGAGTTCTTACATGAGAATGCTGGCATCGTTCATGGCAACCTTACTCCAGACGCAGTTCTCATCAACGCAAAGGCATGCTATCTAAAGCTAATCATGAGAATTCGACTAACATATCACAGTCCGATTGGAAGATTAGTGGACTGGCATTTGCTAGCCCCCCTGAGGGGTCTGACAAACCAACATCTATCCAAGGAATTAACTTATATGAAGTCCTCAATATGGACCCTCGACTACCAAAGACAGTGCAACTCAACCTCGACTATTCTTCGCCCGACTTTGTCGTCGATAACAACCTCAACTCTTCTGCAGACATGTTCTCCCTTGGTCTCATGTCAGTCGCTCTATACAACTCACCCCACAGGTCTCCTCTAGAATGCCACGGCAGTTTGTCTACATACAAGCGACTGTTTTCTTCATCTTCCAGCGTTCCATCTGCCAGTAATAACTATCTTTCATCACGGCCCCTTCCTAGAGAACTTTCGCATGATGTTCTGCCTCGACTCATCACAAGACGGCCTGCCTCGCGAATGACGGCGCGCGAGTTTCAACAGAGCGAGTATTTCGACAACATTCTTGTGTCGACGATTCGGTTTCTTGATTCATTCCCCGCCAAGACTGCAAATGAAAAGGCTTCTTTTATGCGGGGTCTCAACAAGGTGTTACCCTCATTCCCTAAGTCAGTGATGGAGAAGAAGATTCTACCGGCATTGATAGAGGAGCTCAAAGATCGAGATCTTCTTTCACTCATTCTGCAAAACGTCTTCAAGATCCTCGATCTCCTACCGTCTGCAAAGAGGGCGTTCAGTGAGAAGGTCCGTCCAGCATTGAGAGAAATCTTTGTAGTCAACGCCAAGCAGACACAAGAGAAAGATCCAGCTAGGGATGCTGGTCTAATGGTTGTTCTTGAGCATATTTCCTCCATTTCCAGCAACTGCTCTGGGAAGGAGTTCAAAGATGGTAAGTTTACCCAGAAAAGCCGATCGACATGGCACTAATTTCTTCAGACATGCTCCCGGTCATAATGGCAGCAATTGAGTGCCCAACACACTCAATTGTCGATGCTGCTCTTCGCAGCCTACCTGTCGTACTGCCGGTGCTCGATTTTAGCACGATTAAAAATGAGCTGTTCCCAGTCATTGCCGCTGTTTTCAGTAAGACGAACAGTCTTGCTATCAAAGTCCGCGGCCTACGAGCCTTTGTGATACTTTGTGGCGGAACGAACGATAACGGCGAAGACGACGGGCTCAATGGTCTGGAAAACAAGAAGACATCATCTTCAAGTGCTTTGGACAAATACACTATGCAGGAAAAGATCGTCCCACTCATCAGAGTGATCAAGACGAAGGAACCCGCCGTTATGATGGCAGCTCTGAACGTATTACGGGTTGTGGGTTCAGTAGCTGATGCTGAATTTGTAGCGATGGAAATCTTGCCCATTCTCTGGAGCATGAGTTTAGGCCCACTGCTCAACTTGAAGCAATTCCAGGGTTTCATGGAGCTCATCAAGAGTTTGTCTCGAAGGGTTGAGGATGAGCAGACAAGAAAACTTCAAGAACTTGGCGGTCCTTCCAACGGCGCCGCTGCTCCCAGCGAAGATTTCATGGCCTTTGGTGGCGTCACTGGTACAACCTTTGACCAGAACAACGGAGCTACAGAAGACGATTTTGAGAACCTCGTCAAGGGACGCATGGGTAGTCCTAGGTCGAGCACAGCAACCCCCAATTGGGATGACCCAGCCAAGTCAAAATCGAGTACACCCGCGCCTACATTTTCATGGTCGACACCACCTCCACCTGCAAATAACGCTGGATCAAAACCTCCAGCTCAAAAGGCTCCGTCTTTCAGAACCGTAACACCGGATCTGGGTCGTTTCGAGGCTCTTACACCGTCATCTACTCAGTTCAGTCAGCCACTACAACCTACACCGAGCCAGCCCTTCCAACCTCCAACCCAACTTCAGCAACAACCACTGGCTCCGCGGCCGCCTTTGTCTTCTTCGACATCAGGATCATCTATCAACTGGTCTGCTGCTGCCAAGGTCACACCAAGCCCATGGGGAAGCTCCTCTGGATTTGGTACTAGTGCATCTACTGGCAACATGGGCTCCGCGATGGCAAACATGTCTCTTAACTCAACATCACGACAACCGTCATTTACACTTCCACCACCACCACCAGGCAACACATCTACTACGCCTTCTTCGTTCACAATGCCCCCGCCACCGACAAACTGGGGTGGTATGAGTTCGATGAGCAACACAACCCAGAACACGACGCAGAACAACACGGGACAAAAGTCAGGATTGGATAAATATGAGAGTCTGATCTAGACTTGATATTTACGATAGCATTTGTGGGACAGCATTTAGTGTAAGGGGCTGGATATAGATTTGACTTTGTAGTATAAGTCATGGATAATGGTCTCGAGTGGTATGGGCATAGCCAAAGTCACAAAGCCATCCGGTGGCATGGCAAGACTACTATTGGGGTAGAAACAGCACATACTATTACTACAGGCGAGTTGTTATGAGAGTTTTAGACGTGATTAAAAAACACGTCTGTTCGTGAATCTTCAATTTCTGTATTACGATATATATGCTTGCTCTCTAACACATAGCGACTTTGCTGCACCTTGTATCTTCTCCGCCACAGTTTTTGTAAATCCATTCACCATCCCCACCAAACGCTTTTCTTCGCCCCAAATCTCGTTCGGGGTGCCAGTAAATTAGTCCTTCTTCAAGATATTGAAGCCCACGAGGCTGTCTTTATACGCAAAAGTCGCCAAAACGCAGTCGAGACAGGCGCAGAGACAAGAAACGCATGTCTAAGTGAAGGGGAGAAATTGGTTGAAAAACAGTTAAATTCTGACATGTAAAAAAGACAACAGACGGTCGGTCCCGTAAACACCCTTACTCCGTCCATGTCCATCCATTTTTTTGCTGGCATTGGATATCCGTTCCTCCAGACGCCATGCCATCCGCTCGCAGTACAGAATATAGAATTTTATAAAATCGCATAAACGCAGTGTCTTCACATCCTCCCTCGAATATATGAGAGAAAAGCTCGATCAATAAGTCTCACTTCTTGGCCTTCTTCTCCTCAAAAACGTGGCGACTCTTATAGCCAGGTTCGGTACGGACTTCGACCTTTTGGTTCTTAGGAACCATCTCATGCACCATGGGCCAGCCCAGACGGCGGCATAGTTCAGAAACGACAACATCGCAATCGCCTAAGAGATCGATGTCAAAGTTGATGTGATTGACGGCCTGACGAGACACGTAAATCTGAGGGATATGAGCGGGAAGCCAAGACACAATCTCAGATACAGGCGTAACCTTGAGAGAAGTGCCGATGACGATGACGAGATCAACCTTGTCGCGGTCGTGCTCGGTGAGTCGTCGAGAGAACTCATCGGGAAGAGCCTCGCCGAAGAAGGTGATATCGGGCTTCATGACACCAGCAGTGGGGATGTCATACTCAGACTCGTCGGAACTATCGGCGCTCCACCGTCTTCGCTTCTTCTCTGTGCCTGCAGACCGCTTACGCTTAGGTGCACCACCAGTGGTGCGCAGAGTCTGAACGCAACGCGGGCATCGAGGAATCTTGTCAGCCTTAATCTCTGGGAATATGGCCTCTCCCGGGCATTTGTAACCGCACTGAACACATGTGGCGGTTCCGAAGGAGCCGTGGCATTGGATGAGTTTGTCCTTGGGA